CCCCATCCAAGGACTGAGGAATCTGGATGCAGACATCCATGGCTGAGCCCCGGGTGGAGCACTGGGAGTCTAATTGGTGAGGGGGAGGAGGGTCTATATGAGCAAAAATTGTACTCTATATCTTATATTCACCAACTTTTCTTCATCTAATCATCCTTTGATGGGCACTAATGCTGATTCTGTATCTTGGCTGTTTTGACTAATACTGAAAGGATAGATATATCTCCCACATACTGATGTGAGTATACCATGTACTCAATAGCGGTATTATTGTGTCATAAGGTAATTTCTAGTTTCTTGAGGAAACTCCACACTGTTTTCCCTAATGACTACAGTAATTTCTGTTCCCACTCACAGTGTGAAGGAATTCTCCTTTCTCTGTTGTTGGAGGGCCCCAACAACATTTCTCATGTATGTGAATCTCTTACTCCTTTTCCTAATAACCATACTAATAGATGGGAAGTGACATCTCAAAGTGGATTAATCAGAATTTTCTTGATAATTAGTCATTTATTCATACAGTTCTTGGGCATTCATAGACCGTCTTTTGAAAATACGTATTCTCAATCCTTTACTAATAGTAAGTGAGACTTTGCCCTTTCTTTCTATTGAATTGTGATGTTTATATACTGTGGAAGCTTGGAGCCTTATGTGATGTGTCATTTGTAGATATAGTTTTCTGTTCTATGGGCTCTTTGTCTCCTTTGATGTGCAATAAGCTGTTAGTCTTGATGAAATCTGAGCCATTTATTTTTGTTACCTTGATTTTCTTTTCATATAATCCCCCAATATCATGAGGTTTTATGCAGGTTTATAGTATTAGATGTTTTATATATCTTTACTCAGTCATGAACTGATATTTTGAATACAGTTTGTGACAGTAGTCAGTTTTACTCTTTTGTATCTAAATATGTAGTTCACCTATATTTATTTTTTGATGAGATTCTTCTTTTTCTCAACATGTTCTTGGAACTGGAAACTCACCTTGGTATAAATATGTGGAATTATTTCTGGGTTCTTTATTTCTTTCTAATGATTTATTCAGCTGGTTTGATGCAGTACAGGTTCATGCTGATTGATAGCATTTTGTAATACAGTTAGAAGTTAGAAAAGTTGGTAACTCCATCTTTGCTTTTCCTTCTGAAGATTATTTTTGTTAGTTTAGTGAGTTTTGTGTATTGACTTCTCTTTTAGGCTTAAAATATAATATTACTGTAGTAATAGGTATTACATTTAATCTGAAGCATATTTGGCATAATAGACACATTTTTAAATGTCAGTTTTTATAATCTATGAACATGAGTCCTTCCGTTTATGCTATCTTTTTCAACTTCTTTTATCAGTGTGTTATAGTTCACAAGGAAAGATAGCTCATTTTGTTTTATTGATTGTGCTCATAAGTATTAAGTTCATAATGTAAATTATGATTTTATTTTTTTCATAATGCACTTTTAGTGTATAGAAACGTTAATGTATTTTGTACGCTGATTTTGTAGTCTGACATTTTATGGAGATTATTTAACAGACTTTTTGAAGTTTCTTTCAGAGTTTCAACACATAAACTGATGTCATCTATATTCAGGCCCTTTGGCTCACACTTGTAACCTCAGAAGCTGTGATGCAGAGGCAAAAGTATTGCTTCAAATTCAAGGCCATGCTGTGCTACATATTTAGTTCCACATCAGCCTGGGAGATACAGTACAATCTTGTCTCAAAGATACAAACAACTGGATGTGGGAAAACATAAGGAAAGGAGAGACACTGGTCATCAACAACTGAAGAAAAGGTCGTTTGAAAATGCCATAATAATACCTTTTTCTATGCTAATAGAAAATTAGAAAATTTTAAAGATTATATTTAGAATGCTTAAAAAAACGAAACACTGATGTCAAATGTGTGACTGCGTTCTGTCTACCACTGTTTCCTTCTCTTGCCTATTTTTTCATGACGAGAGCTTCCAGTTCTGTGACAAACAGAATTCCAGAGAATGTTGGTTCTTTTTGTTGATGTTTAGCTTTTAGACCTTAGTTTGAATGTCTTCTATCTGAAATATTGTCTTCTACAATTTTGAGAAAGTTCTTAGTGGTAAGGGTAAGTGACCTGATGTGTCGACCCCAAGCTGTGTGTTTGTCAACAAGGCCCACTGAATCTCCTGATACAGATTTACATGCCTCAACTACACTGAAGAGCATGAAGTAGAGTTGTGTTCTTCTGGAAACTCTGGCACGTGCATATTTAACACATTCTCGTGCAGTCATGTAGTAAGTTGAAAGATTTAACTTCAGAAAACCAAGATTCAGGAAGAGAAAATGGAAGGGGGATTACATACTGAAAACAGCCGATGACAGACTGCCTTCTATGTAACCTAACCTCTTGACTGAGAGCCAGAGACTAAAGTTGACTGGCTCTGCATATTAAAAGTTCTTAAAACCAGAAAATGCTAATCTATGTGGTGAAAAATGAAATAAATATGTTGGATGCAAAGTTCATTGCTTCGGTACAATCTGAGTCACCTTGAGGTGATCAGGCTACACATCAAAAGTAAGTCTGTAGAAATAACATGAGTGTCCTTACTTATCTAAGCACAGTTTGCTGCAGACATAGCTTGTATGATGCAATGTTAACATGGAAATTAAAGGCCAATATCTTAATTCCTCAGCATTGTAAACAGATTTGACACAAATCCTTTTTATTTCCTTTCTTTTTTTAGGAAACTGAGTTTATTACCTACACAGCAAATACAATAACTTTCTGTCATAGGAATAGAAATAATGACAGATTTCACTCCTCTTTGTGTGTGACTGTCACAAGGGAAACCAATTTTAATGAGTTCCTGTGATGCTAGCTTATCATGAGAATTCCTCACATTGCTTTCCCAAAGGTGAATGGGGCTGAAATTAGACCCTTTCTAATCTTAACTCTGTCTTGTCTGCTCCAACTTCTATTTGTTACATTTACCCAATGCTTTCTTTTCTTATCCCTGGTCTAGACCCTGGCTAACTAATACATTTAGATTAATGGAATGTCTCTCTTATAGTGCTCCAACTTCTGGCTTCCAGCCTTGCTGACTTTTAGCTAATCCTACTCTTATGTGTGATCCAATCCAGGAGGGCTAAGTGGTCACAAAAGGCTCTATTTTATTCCTTGGGACTTCACATTACTTGACTCCTAAGACATCCACATCCCTGCCTTATTTCTGACTCAAATAACCCACTTTAAAGAAGCCAGTTCACTCATTACTCATCCTTAACTCATGATCCCGTTTTATGATCCTCACACAGAGAATCCTGCTTAGAGCCTATTGCAGAGGCATACCCCTCTCCCGTAACATACGTAGACTCCAAAGGGTTTCTACAGCAGATTCTTTCATTTAGCAGTCTTTAAAGATCTAAAGTGACTTCCTTTACAACAAATATTGATCTTCTGTCTTCTTCTCATAGTTCCTGTCTGCATAGCTTTTACTGTCTGCAAAGCTGCCTTTTATAATGTGCAAAAGCCATGTGGCCATCATTTTCCTCTTTGGAAGGAGTAGCTCTTCAGAAATCCTGGCTATACACATAAGATCACAAGGTAGAGAGAATAAACCTTAACATTCCCAGTTGCATTATTTATTATCTTTTTTAACATGAGAAATTAATTTATAAGCTTAAACCCTAATTCCTTATACACAAGGTGTTTCTAAATAAAGCTCATATCACATCATTTCTCTTAAATATATATTAAAACAATCACTGTTCAACTGCTTGGTATTGTTTGGTACACTGCGAGTTTTTAATTCTATATGAAACTTATTTTTTTAAAGATTATCATTTGTTGCTTAAAATATGCAATACCACTGTAAGAAAATGGGACTTATGGTTTTAAAAATCTGGGCCTGGCTCCTTTTGTTCTAATGATGTAGAGAAGCAAGCTTTGGATATATAACCTAACTGACATGCCAAATGAAGGGTTCGTGAAGTACAACACAGAATTTGTGTAACAAGAGAATGAGTTATTATAGAAAAATGTTTCATAAACTTACATACATAAATGTTGCATACTGAAAGATGGGATAATCAGCAACATTATAAAGAACGAATAAATGCTTTTTAAGTGGAATATTTTTAAATAAAGTTTGTGTTTTGGTGTTAAAGGTTAGAAATTGACACTAGTAATTAAAGTAAGAATAGGAAAGTAGATATTTGAGAAGGATTTATTGACTTCTTGGGGAAATAGTATTCTAGGTCATTTTATGATTTATTTTTTGTTTCACTTGTATTTTGCTTAGTTATTTGTTTTGTTATTTTGAACCAGTAACTAAATTGTGTAAATATAGTGTCAAATCCTGGTATTTCAATGAAAGTACATTTGCTTAATTTATATATTTGTGATCCTGAGTCATTATAAAATGGCTTATTGTTTCTGAAATCATATATAAGAAACAAAAGAGATGCTTCTCTTCTGTCCCTTTTCCACAGATTATGAAATTGAATTCACACATGTACATATGTATATATACATTCATATATAATTATATATGAGAAATATAATCAAATTAAAAAAAACAGAAAACTATGTTTAGCACTGAATTTAAATTTTTTTTGCTGTTTTTAGTCATGTGGAAAATGTGCATTCTCATTAGTAAATAACCATCTTGATAGTCACTGTTCTCATTTATAGACAAAAATCATGACATCTATATGATGTCTATTAGTAAATAGTATTTACCAAATGCATCTTTAATTAAACTGATGGAAATGATGCATGAAATACATATCTTTACAATTTTCAAACAATCAAATATAGAAACTGCTTTGTTTCCTACTGTTAGGATGGAGAAATTTAAGAACAAGGATGTGAAATAAAGAATTGACAATGACTTTGCCCTAAATTCAGTTTGAATAAATAACCAACATTTACACCAAATGTCACAGGTTTTTATATTGAATTACTACTTTACTTGTGAATGGGCTTTTAAGCAAAGATACTGTTAGAAGAGTTGTCACTTAATGTACACTTACTATTCTGCAATGAAATAGAGTCCCTGGAGTTCCTCAAATATCAGATGCCAAAGATTGGCATCAAGACTGTGAGAAGGGGATCGTCTCCTCCTGGAGTCGGGAAATGGCCGCTGTGTAGTTCGCCGCGGAGAGAAAGCCCTGAACCCCGTGCTTCGGCGCGTCAGGAAGAATCTTGGCAGTATCTTAGAGACATCACTGACTTCTGGATCCTGCATAAATAAAGCCCAAGGAGAATAGAAATGGGCCGCTCCAATTCTAGATCGCATTCTTCAAGATCAAAGTCTAGATCACAATCTAGTTCTAGATCAAGATCAAGATCACATTCTAGAAAGAAGAGATACAGTTCTAGGTCTCGTTCCAGGACATATTCAAGGTCTCGTAGTAGAGATCGTATTTATTCTAGAGATTATCATCGAGATTACAGGAATAATAGAGGAATGAGACGGCCTTATGGGTACAGAGGAAGGGGTAGAGGGTATTATCAAGGAGGAGGTGGTAGATACCATCGAGGTGGCTATAGACCTGTCTGGAATAGAAGGCATGCTAGGAGTCCTAGACGAGGTCGGTCACGTTCCAGGAGTCCAAAAAGAAGATCCGTTTCTTCTCAAAGATCCCGAAGCAGATCTCGTCGGTCATACAGATCCTCTAGGTCTCCAAGGTCATCATCATCTCGTTTTTCGTCCCCATTTAGCAAATCTCCTGTCTCTAAAAGACGAGGGTCTCAGGAAAAACAAACCAAAAAAGCTGAAGGGGAACCCCAAGAAGAGAGTCCTTTGAAAAGCAAATCCCAGGAGGAACCAAAGGATACATTTGAACATGATCCATCTGAGTCTATTGATGAGTTTAATAAATCTGCCACATCTGGGGATATTTGGCCTGGCCTTTCAGCTTATGACAATAGTCCGAGATCACCTCATAGTCCTTCACCTATTGCTACACCACCCAGTCAGAGTTCATCTTGTTCAGATGCCCCCATGCTTAGTGCAGTCCACTCTGCCAAAAACACCCCTTCTCAGCATTCCCATTCCATTCAGCACAGCCCCAAAAGGTCTGGATCTGGTTCCGTTGGAAATGGGTCTAGTAGATACAGTCCTTCCCAGAATAGTCCAATTCATCATATCCCTTCACGAAGAAGCCCTGCAAAGACAATCACACCACAGAATGCTCCAAGAGAGGAATCTAGGGGGCGGTCCTCTTTCTATCCTGATGGAGGAGATCAGGAAACAGCAAAGACAGGAACGTTTTTAAAAAGGTTCACAGATGAAGAGTCTAGAGTGTTCCTGCTTGATAGGGGTAACCCCAGGGATAAAGAGGCTCCAGAGGAGAAAGGGTCAGAGAAAGGCAGGGGAGAGGGAGATTGGGAAGACCAGGAAGTTCTAGATTACTTCAGTGATAAAGAGTCTGGAAAACAAAAATTCAATGATTCCGAAGGGGATGACACAGAGGAGACAGAGGATTATAGACAGTTTAGGAAATCGGTCCTGGCAGATCAGGGGAAAAGTTTTGCTACTTCATCTCATCGGAATACTGAGGAGGAAGGACCCAAGTACAAGTCCAAAGTTTCACTAAAAGGCAATAGAGAAAGTGATGGATTTAGAGAAGAAAAAAGTTACAAACTGAAAGAGACTGGATACCTAGTGGAAAGGCCTAGCACTGCAAAAGATAAGCACAAGGAAGAGGACAAAGGTTCTGAAAGAATAACAGTAAAGAAAGAAACACAGTCACCTGAGCAGGTAAAGTCTGAAAAGCTCAAAGACCTCTTTGATTACAGTCCCCCTCTACACAAGAATCTAGAGACCCGAGAAAAGTCTATCTTCAGAGAGGAGAGCCCGCTTAGGATCAAAATGATAGCCAGTGACTCTCATCGTCCCGAAGTCAAACTTAAAATGGCACCTGTTCCTCTTGATGATTCTAACAGGTAATTCCACATTGCTGCCTAGTGAGTGATCGAGCGGTAGTTAAGGGTAAAGTTATTGTTCTGAACATGGAATTGACACATTCAACCAATGCTGTATTTTGTGTGTGTGTATGTGTGTTTGTTTTTGATGTATTCTAGGCCAGCATCCTTGACTAAAGACAGGCTACTTGCTAGTACGCTTGTCCATTCTGTCAAGAAGGAGCAAGAATTCCGATCCATCTTTGACCACATTAAGTTGCCTCAGGCCAGCAAAAGCACTTCAGAGTCATTTATACAACACATTGTATCCTTGGTTCATCATGTTAAAGAGCAATACTTCAAGTCACCTGCAGTGACCCTAAACGAGCGGTTCACTTCATACCAGAAAGCTACTGAAGAGCACAGTAGCCGGCAGAAGAGTCCTGAGATCCACAGGAGGATTGACATCTCTCCAAGTGCTCTGAGGAAGCATACCCGTTTAGCAGGGGAGGAGAGAGTTTTTAAAGAAGAAAATCAGAAGGGAGATAAAAAATTAAGGTGTGATTCAGCTGATCTTTGGCATAAAGAAAGAAGTAAAGAACGGGGTGATTCCAAGGGCTGCAGAGAATCTAGTGGATCAAGAAAGCTAGAAAAACCTCCAAAAGATTACAAGGAATACAAATCTTACAAAGATGACAGCTAACATAAAGGTAGAGAGCAAGACCATTCTCGATCATCATCCTCTTCAGCATCCCCTTCCTCACCCAGTCCTCGAGAAGAAAAAGAGAGTAAGAAAGAAAGAGAAGAAGAGTTTAAAACTCACCATGAGATGAAAGACTACTCGGGATTTGCAGGAGTTAGCAGACCTCGAGGAACCTTTCAGATGACAGAGATGATGGTGTGGATTATTGGGCCAAAAGAGGAAGAGGTTGTGGTACTTTTCAACGCGGCAGAGGGTGCTTTAATTTCAAAAAATCAGGTAGCAGTCCAAAATGGACTCATGACAAATACCAAGGGGATGGGATTGTTGAAGATGAAGAGGAGACCATGGAAAATAATGAAGAGAAGGACAGATGCAAAGAAGAAAAGGAATAGTCTGAAGATTGCAACAGAGAGCAGAACTTGACACACATTTCTTTAAACCTGATTTTTGTTTTCAAATAAGAATGTAAACATTTTACTTAAAATTTACTGTTTGCAAGTAGTCTATAGAAATTTTGTTTTAAGTCTTCAAATACCTTGGAAACATAGTAGACTGTATGTTGAAAATTGTATTGAAATAAAGTAGGAAATGTTCCATAAAAAAAAAAAAGACTGTGAGAAGGGAAGTGGGCAGAAAGAAGACATCTGACTCAAATTTTATTATTTCACCCATATTGTTTACACATAAGCATACAGATTTATGCACATAAAGGCTGAGTGATTGTGTGCACTAGCATAAGACAGAAGACACTGTAGTCGGATGTTTCTATGTGTCCTACCCAGCCTGTGGTAGGGACAAATCTCTTCTGTTTGGAGTCCTACAGCTGCTTATAAAATAATCACTCAGAGGCTTATATTCATTATGAACTGTATGGTCTCTGGCAGGTCTCTTGCGGTTCCCAGTGTCTCTTCTGCCTCTCCTTTCCTCTTCCTCTCTCTCCAGTTGGAATGTACTGCCTAAACTTATTCTGCCTCACCATTGGCCAGCTTTATTAATCAACTAATCAGAGCAACACATATTCATAGCATACAGAAAGACATCCCACAAAACTTCTCCTTTTCTGTCTAGTCAAAAAGGAAGGTTTTAACTTTAACATAGTAAAATTACATATAACAAAAAGTTATCAACCATGAATTACAGTTACAATATCTAATCTATTTGTACTTGGCAAAATGAAAAAAATACCTCTATCATCTATATTTTTGTGAGTCTAAATTTTCATATCTAATTTATCTTTTATCATAACCAAGGAAAATGATCATTATAACTATCTAGTCTTTAACTGCAACAAAAACCCCAGAAGGATATAATATTAAGTCAGTAAACAGGAAAAGCATTGTAAGCAACTTTCGAAAATCTAGAATGACAGAGACAGTTGGCTGCCTGGACAGTCATCTGAAATTCCTCTGTAACGTTTAAGCATCCATCTTCAGCCTATAGGCCTAGAGTTTTTCAAGTCACTTCTCCAGAGGTTCAGTGGCAGGTTTGTGTTGGGCCTTGAGTGCTGTTGGAAAATGCCATCATGATAAGAAAACAAAGCTTAAAATGACCACAGGCATTGAGATTTTAAAACTAGGAGCCTCATAATAGGTTAGTTTGTAGTTCTATAATTTTCTCAAAACAAAATAAATACCATGGTAAGTTTGTATCTGGAGATATCCAAAACAGTAAAAGATCCTGTGTGGTGGGCACACATGTTTATGCTTTAGTTGAATATGCATGGATATGAGCACATTTTGGTTTTGAATTTGAATCTTTCATTCCAGTGATGGAGTTTGTATCTCAGAGGAATACTCAGATTCAAACTTTAAATTATAAGAGTCAGCCTCCTTATGGTATTCTCTTTCTGGGCAATAATTCTTGTGGACATATGGAAAATGATTTTTGAGTCATATAAGTCAATATCTGATGAAATGAGTTTAGCAGAAACTTTCCAAATATTCACCTTTTGGCTGAAGCCAAGCCTGGAGAGTTTAAAACCCAGAAGGGAATCTTGGAGAAAGTTATGAATGAATAGGTTCTAGTTTATTATGGAAATTCAATTGTAACCAAGTACTACAGTGTGTCTAGACTGACAAGACTTGGTTGCCAATGATACAGTGCTCAAGTTTCACGAGAACTCTGTCTGGAAAGTATGCAAGATGTTGGATGTGAGAACCTACCAGAGGTCCATGTGTGCTGTGGCCACTATTGAGAAGGCACTCATTCCTCTTTCCAGAAAGGGTACAGTTGGAAAAGCAAGAGAATTAGGAACACTGTTCAGTAGACATAGCATAAGGCTGGGAGAGAAAAGTGCTGGGAAGGGGCAATGATTTTATGAGTTTAAAATATAATCTTTAAAATGTCTTATTTTAAATTATTTTGTTTTGTTTTCTTTCTTTTTTTTTTTAATCACTGTTGTTTTGTTTAGGCTCATTTGACCAAGCAATTTCTCTATGATGATTTTAGAAGAACCCTGTCTGTGATAAAATTAAAGGGTGAGTATCTCTCCTAACATATTCACCAAAAGACTGAATTGAAATTCTTCAGATTCTAAGAGGCTTCGG